ATCGCAGACAGATTCTTCACCGTCTGAGCCACTAGGGGAGCATCCCTGTTTGTTCTGAGTGGTCTTTACTTATTTCCATAATTCTTCTTGGCTAGGCAAGAGACTGACTTTTTGAATAGAAACGAACAAGTGTGTTTAGGTGCCAGGCATTCTGGCAGCCATTTAAGGGGCTGTCTGGAAAACACAGCAGCCCAGCCGCTGGGGATGCTGTGGAAAGCTGCGGAAAGCTGCAGCCCCTTCTGAAGATGCGGGGGAGGGACAGGAGAGGGAAGCTCTGGTGGAAGAGATCCTTTATTCCCTCTCATCTGAGTATCCACGCTACCTGGGCATCAGTTCCCTGGCTCACTACCAGACAAATTTGCTTGTTGTACCATAATCACATTCTTGTTATGACCAAGTAGGCAGGAGAACAATAGGCCTTTATAAACGTTTCTGAAACCAGAAGACAGAAGTTTGCTGTCCTGCCTCCCTCTATATCTTATCTGTAAAAACCTTCCAAAACAAAAAGCAGAGGGCTGCAGGGCTCCTCTCTGCCCTTTCACCGCCTGACCCTGGGACTCTGCTTGGGCAACAAGGCCTCCTGGTGGCATGCTGGTCAGATTTGATGCCTGTGTCTCAGTCCACTTGGCTGCTATAACAAAATACCACAGATGGGGGGAGGCGGGTTTATAAACAAAACACCAGAGATTTACTTCTCATAGTTCTGGAGGCCGGAAGGCTAAGCCAGGGTGGCAGCACAGTCAGGTGAGGCCTTCTTACTGATTTGTAGCCAGCACCTTCTTGCTGTGTCCTCATAAGGCCAAAGTATTCCTGACCCTTTTGAGCTGATCCCCAACAAGGCTTCTCCTGGTTAGCGTTTCTCAAGCCAACAGAATAAGACCAGATTTGGTTTCAGAAGTGAAGAAAGCTTCTTGGATCAAAGAATGGAGGGAGAGGTGCCAGACTGCTCAGCTCTAGATAGGGAAGCCTGTTTTCAGAGCACAGGCTCAGGGGCTCAGCTCTAGAGCACAGGCGCACCTGGACGGGCGTGGGCAGGGCTGCTTGATAGGGATCTGGCAGCGGGGAGGGGAGGGGGTGGAGCTCTCTTGGGGTCTGCAAAGCTATGCTGCTCAAGCTCCAGCCTGAAGTGCCCAGAGCAGTACATCTCTGCACACAGTCCGTGGAGCTAAGGTGTTGGTGCAGCCATTTTGCACTAGGAACTCCGGTCTGAAGTGCTAGGTGCAAGGCGTCTGCACACAGCACCCTGTAGGGACATGAAACTAGACTAAGCACAAAAGAAGAGGTTAGAGCTTGTCCCCTACATTCCATTTTATTTTCCCCAGGGTTCCCAGTGGGTTCCCAGAATCCCAGAAGGGGCTGGGGTTCTCCTTCATAAGAGCACTATCCCAAAGTAATCACCTCCTCAAGGCCTTCCTTACTAACACCCTCACCTTTGGAGGTTAGGAACTTCAACACATGAATTTGGGGGAGGGCACAAATATCACAGTATCATGATTACAAAGGTCATGGTTTTTAAGCAAGGCCAATGACCATGGTTGTGATTCTGCACCAAGCCCTAAACAGTACATTAGGCACAATGTGGGCCAAGAAACCCAAATAAAATTCTATTGAACTCTGGAGTGTTTGGGATACCCACTGGTAGCTCAGCTGGTAAAGAATCCGCCTGCAATAGGAGACCCTGGTTCAATTCTTGGGTTGGGAAGATCCCCTGGAGAAGGGATAGGCTACCCACTCCAGTATTCTTGGGCTTCCCTGGTGGCTCAGATGGTAAAGACTCTGCCTGCAATGTGGGAGACCTGGGTTTGATCCCTGGGTTGGGAAGATCTGCTGGAGGAGGGCATGGCAACCCACTCCAGTGTTCTTGCCTGGAGAATCCCACGGACAGAGGAGCCTGGTGGGCTGCAGTCCATGGGGTCACAAAGAGTTGGACAAGACTGAGCGACTAAGCACAACACCGCCTCTTTCATCATCAGTCATTCCTTTGGGGTGGCAGAGGTGGACTGACTCTAGTCTAAGTTCTCTTCTGAGCAAAAGGAGCCCAGATCCCAGTAGAGGGGCTTCTGAGACCTGTATGAGAACCAGCTTTGCAGGAAGCACAGGAGGCCTTGAGGAGTTTCTTCAAGCAATTCTGAAATGCACTTTTCAGTCATTCTGTTTTTGACTCAGAGGACTTGTAGGCTCTGGACCATAGGACTAAGATGAATAGCTCTAATCTCTAAATATGATTGAATTTCCTTCTTCCCAGGACCTCTATCCAATGTCTTTTGGGTGGCTTTCTCTTCTTCGGATGCTTTCCAAATGTCTTCTATCCTTAAACTTACTCTGGCTCTTCTATCTTTTAAGAATTATTATAGGTCCAACACTCATCATTACATTAGATTTTTTATGTCTTTGACCCACAAAGTCAGGGATGGATGCCCTGGAAAATAGGGTCCATAGCCAGAAACTCATTTCCCAAGAGCTTCTGTGTTTCCTGCAGAGCAAGCTGTCTATGAACAGCTACACTCTCACTATGCTTATTTTATTTTACTTTTGATTCAGAGTCTTAAAGAAGTCATCTTTGCTCCCATGCATCAAATTCAATCATGTGTCAGGCAGGTCTGCATCTTTTTGATTAGCCTCTATAACAATGTACCCTACAATGAGGAACCTAATATTAACTGCATCACCCCAATCACTGCCTTCCATTCAGCTTCATGGATGTCACCCTTCATTATGTAAGTAGAGAATCTGGTTATTTTGTAGCAGTGTCACGATCAACTCTAAGGGAGCAAAATTCCCTTTCCCTAAAAGACCACTTTTGTTATCTGTATGAGATTCCTCCCTCTCCAAATTCTCAGGGGGTGTCTGAGCAAGTAGAGCATTCCATGGAAATTTGTGTAAGGCCAACTCCTCTCCTGAGGTGTCAGCTGGTAGGGTAGTGGTTTTAAATAATTTATACCTTACCTGGAGGGACCATGTCAGCTACCTCGTGGTAGGTTAATACATTCCATTAGAGAGTAAGGAGCAACTTATTTGCACAGACATAAACACCCTGAATTTTGACTTGATTTGCTGTCCTTTCTCTGTTATGCCACTGTCAACACTTAGTACTTTATACTCCATAAAAGTGTCACACATCACCACCTCTGCCAAAGGAACCAACTTCCCAGTTAAAGAAATAAATCAATGGACTCACTTCTATGGGATGAGCTTGTATCTCACATATCCTTGTCCAGAGCAGCTGATCTGTTGAATGTGTGACCACGCATGGACTTGAAGATTCTAGCTGGAAACAATTATTTTCCAAAGTTGTACTGTCAATGCAATGTGTGTTCTGAACTCAAAACCTAATGCTCATTAAAAAACAATCCAAATTAAAAATGAGCATAAGACTTAGACATTTTTCCAAGGAAGACATAATAGGCACATAAAAGATGCTCAACGTCATTAAGCATCAGAGAAATGCAAACTAAAACCACAAGGTATCACCTCACACCTGTCAGAATGGCTATCATAAAAAAACAACCCACAAATAACAAATGTTGAAGAGGAAACCCTTGTAAAATGACAGTGAGAATGTAAATTGGAGCAGCCACTATTGAAAACAGTATGAATAAAAATAAATGGAAAAAAAAAAAAAAGAAAACAGTATGAAGGCTTCTCAGAAAACTGAAAATAGAATTATCCTTTGACCCAGCAATTCCACTCCTGAGCATCTATCCCCCAAAAGCCAAAAACACTGATTCAAAAAGATACAGGCACCCCAGCAGCATTGTTTACAGTTGCCAACTCTCTCTCTCTCTCTCTCTATATATATATATATATATATATTATAGTTTATATATATTTTACTACCCAGTCATAAAAATGAATGAAAAATTTCCATTTGCAGTATGTATGGACTTGGAGGGTATTATGCTAAGTGAGGTAAGTCAGACAGACACATATAATGGAATCTAAAAATGACAACAAACTAGTAAATGTATTAATAACAAAAAAGGAATTCACAGATACAGAGAATAAACTAATGGTGACTAGTGGTTACCAGTACAGGGAACAAACTAGTGGTTATTAATGGGGAGAGGGAAGGTGGAAGGGGCCAGATATGGCTAAAAGATTAGGAAGTACAAACTATTATTTATAAAATATGCTACAAGGATATATTGTATAACACAAGGAATATGGCCAATATTTTATAATAGCTATAAATGGAATATAACCTTTAAAATTGTGAATTACTAAATTGTACACCTAAAACTTGGGCGTTCCCATTGGCTCAGCAGTAGAGAATCTGCTTGCAATGCAGTAAACACAGGAGATGTGAGTTCGATCCCTGGGTCAGGAAGATCCTTGAAGAAGGGAATGGCAACCTACTCCAGTATTCTTGCCTGGAGAATCCCGAGGACAGAGGTTTACAGTACATAGGGGTCACAAAGAGTTGGACATGATGGAGGTGACTTAGCATGCATGGCTAAGGTGACTTAGCATGGCTTATTCTCAGCCAAGTCACGCATTTTCCCCTTTTCACTCAATAACTGCCATCTGTGTCTACACTGATATCTATCTATATTCATAGCTATATAGAGATAATTCATAATTTGTTTTTTATAAAAGGTCATAATAAGCAGTATTTTATGATGTCAGTCTAAATTTCTTTTGTTTTCCATAAAAAGATATCGCTATAGTATACAGATCTTACCTTTGAACAAAATAAATCTCTCAAGTCATTCTTTTGGGTTAATGTACTTTTTGTTTGATGGGGCTAAAAGATGCATAAAATATTAAGAAACTCTGGATTGATAATTAGAAATAATGTATACAAGAATCAAAACCCAATGAAAATAGCTCTATATACATGCATATTTTGTACATGCCTACTTTTTTAATTAAAATACATGGTAGGAAAAGATAGGAAACACAACTTTCAGAATAAGCCTCTACTGTATACAAATGTCAGCTTGAGTCCAAACATGGGATGAGACTGGTATAGGGAAGGATAAATAAAGTTGAGATGTGCATTATATTTTAAAATCATTTTTTAATGACAATACAAAATTAAAATCAATAAATTTCAGTGTAGAAATGGAACTCACACAAGAAATTTGTGCAGAAACACCTGACTGTTTTCTTTTCCTCCTTCCTATTCTGATACTTTTGAAAGGGCTCTGTGGAAATTCTCTGCAGTTCAGTTGGAGGAAAGCAGTATACCAAGAGAATTGCTATCCAGAGCTTGATGACTCCTTTTTCTCTTGAACTTCTGTTTCAGATGTGTCTTTATTTAACCTTGATCCCATTTCTTTAAAAAAGCTGGCTATCAAATTAAATAGAAGAGCAATCCAGGCAAGACCATAAAGATTCCAAATTAACAACAAGATTGAATAAGTGATGTCCTGATTGTCTTTTGTAGGATTTGAAACTAAAGACAGGAAGCAAATGACATGCAAATAATCAGATGATGATTTTTCCCCATAACATTTTCTTTCATTCATTAATACCTAGGAAAATGCCTTCTTTTAGAATCTGATCCTGAGAACAAATTAGAAATTAAAATAAAGCATATCTAAAATTATCATTTCTTTCAAGGAAAGAGTATAATTTAAATTACAAATATTGAGATTCTGTTCATTTTTAGAACACAGCTGGAGGCTGAAAAATTCTCTTTCCCTTTGAACATTATTCTTTTTAAATACCATAGTAAGTGTAATATTTTACAGTGAAGTAATTTATCATTGCTACAGGTAGGACACTTTTAAAATGAGAGAAGGAAAAGATAAATATATTACACAAAATAATTTTAAATGGGATTCAGATTTGTTAACAAAGATACAGTGTGTTTCCTTGTACCAGGTATCTATATTTCTGAGTTTAAAATTATATGAATTAATTGCCTTTGTCATTAGAAATCTTGAGAGCACTCTTTTAAGAAGGAAAAGAAAATCACTAATAATTAAAATCATCCTAATATTGTAATACTATAACTTTTATACTCCCTTCAGGTCTTGCTATTTTTGTTTTTCATGATTGCAATCTACTTGTGTGAAGAGGTACAGCTGAAAGAGCATAAACATTGCAATCAAAAAGAAGTAAACAGAAACAAATAACACAATAAACATATTGTGATTTATCACAAGAATGCAATTTAACTGTGCTTATTAGAGCATGAAATAACAAAAACTATTTAACATTATCAGACATTAAATGATTTGATATTTATCTAATATAAATTAACCAGCAAACATTTTTGAAGCATAGCAATCAGAGAATAAACTGAATAAGTGTAATTGGAGGGCTACACTCACTTTGGGTTTAAGATGACATTTGGTTAACTGTCTCTGATGCAGCTTCTTCCAAAACTGCCTCCCAAAATACATGAGTACATGCACACACACGCACCCTCCCCCCAATAAAAGGAAAGTATCTAAGGTGAGATTCTAGTCTACTGACATAAACTGAGTGTGTATTTTACTAACTAAAAATCAAAGTGTGTATAGAACTTTTGTATTAGCATGTAGAAAAACACAAGAGATGCTCATATCCATACTAACACAGGAAAAAAAAACTAGATGCACTACAAAATCATAGTTTTATTACAACAAAAAAAGAGAGAGAGCTGAGAACATGAAAAAGACTCCTAACAAACTAAATTTTTCAAAGTGACAAGTTCTTCCTAGGAGAGAGGAAGCCATGTTTATGGCTTACTACCTGTAGAGTGATGATCACCATGGGTGTCCCAAGTGTAAGATAGGTTGTCCACTGAAGTGGGCAGCGGAATTGAGTGACCCTGCCTACAGCACACTGGGCCTTCACTGCGTGAAGGCAGCAACTGGCAAAGCGGAGAAGCTAGGGACTGACAGAACACCCAGGAACCCAAGTAGCCGTAACCAGGCTGTAGACTAGAGGGAGATCTCCCATGATTATCTACAGTCTCACTGGTGGTACTCAGCTCCTAAGCCTTGCTGAAGGGAGTAACTTCACTTAGTCCTCAAAATATTCCAAGTCAGTGATGGATTCAATCTAACTAAAGCAGCAACAAAGCCCAGACCCAGATCATCAAAAGAGTCAATAGCTTCGTCCCATCCCCACACTGCCAGCCTATACTAGTAACTTGGAAAACTCAAATTATGTTATATCCAGTTGTTTCAAAAATAGCTCAAATGAGCAGATTTTTAACCATTTAGAGCCTGCCTGCTTTGCACATCCTATGAAATTGTGCCTAACATCTTGGAGCCACGGATAAGATAAACCCTAGAGCTGTCAAGGACTCCAACCATTGCTGCTCTTCAGAGCTCTCTGACCCAGAGACTCCCTATCAGGTTGCTGAGAGATACCCCCCGAGACCCCAAAGCCCCCATGATTCTCCCCTGCCTCCAAAAGTTCTCTAACTCTCCTCTCCTTCTGGGGAGTATCCCCCATGTTGTAACCTCTGTATGGTCTCATGCTGTGAGGTAATTATTCCACATGCAAACATGTCAAAGTGTGACTCAAATAAAACTCATTCATTCTTCTGCAACCTTATGGTCATATCCTTGTCCATTTATCAGCTCTGAGATCTCCTGAACGCACTACAGGAAATTGATTGTAAGGTATCATAAGCGTACTTTTGAAGTGGTGGCATGTAATCAAGTCTAACTTTATTTTTGGTATTTGACTGCTGACATTTTCCAACCAAACCTCATCCCTCCTTTCCCTCTTGTCTCTCATTCTGGAAAACCTGCAAAGACGCTCACACACTCCCTCCCTCGGTGACTGTGAGAAATGCAACCATACAAGTTCTGGTTCAATAATGGGAGCTCTCATACCTTTCCCATAGCCTAATCACAATAAAAGTCAAAGCCAGTCACTCCTCTGGCTCTATTAAGAAATTTTCAGGCCTGCTTGAATGCCACCCTGCTCTACATACCATACCATACCACTACTACACACATGCACTCTTGGTGTGAGTGAGTAAGAGAGAGAGAGAGAGACCATATCAACATCCAAGCCAATTTTGGTTGCAGTCTATCCTGCCTCTGTAGGTTGGTCACAACATGGACATATTCTGCTTTTGAGTGCTTGCACTGAGACAAATATTAATCAAATCTCATCAAAGTGAATACTTATGATCCATGTATTACACTATGAATAAAGTAAATGTCGGTTTCAAAAGAGCGCTTATTTATAAAATCCCATTTATGGTACTGACAGTCAAGGATATTTGGACAAACTTTCCTCACAGAAAACAAATAAATACATTTGATTAACTGCTTTAAAATTATGTTAAAGTCATCAGAAAACATAAACGTTTGGGAAACTACTAGACCAAGAGTATCTAAGCCACTTTTTTCCTTAAAGGTATTTTCCTATTCTAAAACACTATGACATTGGTTTTGGCGCCCTTCTGTGGTGTGGTGAAAGTAACATAAAACAATCTCCAGTATGAAACACTCCTCATGTTAAGCTGGGATTCCAATAGGCTATAACTTTGGAGAATATTTAACTCAGAAATAGTCTCACCAGACATGCAAAAAATTTTTAGAAAGCATGGCTAGGTGTAAATAAACAGGAAAAAATTATACTATAATCTTAGCAGTTTCTTATATCATGTTATCTGAATTCTATGCTTTTTAAAATATTTCAGGGACTTCCCTGGTAGTCCAGTGATTAAGATTACACTACCAATGCAGGGGGCACGAGTTCGATCCCTGGTCAGGGAACTAAGATCCTGCATGCCACTTGGTGCAGCCAAAAAAATTTTTTTCTTTTTTGCTTACTTGACATCATTAGGATACATAATTTTGTATCATTTTATGTGGTTTAATATTATCAAGCTTTCCCTAAGTCATGAGATGTCTTGTTCAAGTCTTCGTAACTTGAAATGTCATGCTTTTGAAAATGTCTTCAATGAGCAATGGAAACTTCTTTCTTTAAATATATTTTCAATTTTAATTATCATCCCTTTTACTAATAAAAGAATGTGATTTTTAAAAAGATGAGTAGTAAGTTTCATAATAAAAGATGAAATTTTCTACTGTAAAATAATATTTTCAATTTTAATTATCATTCCTTTTACTAATAAAAGAATGTGATTTTTAAAAAGATGAGTAGTAAGTTTCATAATAAAAGATGAAATTTTCTACTGTAAAATAATATTTTCAATTTTAATTATCATTCCTTTTACTAATAAAAGAATGTGATTTTTAAAAAGATGAGTAGTAAGTTTCATAATAAAAGATGAAATTTTCTACTGTAAAAGTGGAAGCAAATTTCTATGAGAATGCCAAGGAAGTAGTATCTCTACTTTGGGAATCCAGAAAAATGTAACAGAGACTCTTTGGAGTGATATTTAAATGTGGTTCTTAGACTTCTGGGTATGTATTTTCAAAATGTATTTATTAATATGAAATTATCCATCTAAATATTGAATATTAATTATTTTATTTTAGTCCTACTTTGATTAAAAATAAATATAATAAGGACACTGTTATTTCTGGGTAGGATGGAGTGGCTTGTGATTGAAGAAAGCCAAGAACAACCAGAAAAATCAGATAAACAGAAAGCAAAACAGAGCAAAATCATGTTTAAAGGTAGGAGAGAGCTGCTAAAGCAATCAAGAGTAGAAGGACTAAGATTCCAGGTGGGAGAGTCAGACATAAAGTCTTTAACTGTTTTCTCCCTTGTTGTTGTGGTTATTTTCACAGAGTCTGGGCATAGACAAAAGGCTGTGCATCTGGGCTAAACAGAAAGGCACTCTGAGGAGTAGAGAAAATGGCAGAGCTTCTGGTGGTCCTTCTGGGTTGGACTGACACAATTAGAGATCTGAAGGATTTAAAACCTATAGCCTCTTACCCCCTTCAATAAATTGCCAAATTCTGAAGGCACATGAAGTTGAAGGCTAAAAAAGGAAAGCTGAAAACTTTTTAAAAGGAGAGTTCCCAACAGATTCAAGTGCAAGGAAACAAAGAAATGACTTCAAGAGCAAACTAAGAGTGTGGTCTTGTGAATATACCAGGCTTTCATCATTTGAAGTTTGTAAAGAACTATAATTGAGGAACAGGAAGAAACCAAAGGGAAATTAAGGCTTTACCAAATCTTTAGTCTAGTCTCAAATCATATCATTCCCTCACCAGATTACATATCCAGTTACCCTCTCCACACGCCTATATCTCTATAAGCCTAGCAGAGGAAAGAGTAAAACATTTCTGGAGGAAGATGACATTCCCTGGAGTATCTGTAACTTTTAAAACACACAACATCCAGCATGCAACCCCAAATTATGAGGCATGCCAAGAGACAGAAGCATATGACTAAAAATCAAAGGGAAGAACTATTAAAAGAGACCCACAGATGTTCCCAATATGGAAATAAGTGAATAAGAACTTTAAAATAACTAAGAATATTATGCTTTTCAAAATATGATATGGAAAAATAAGTGAAAATATAAAGGATTTCAGCAGACAATTGGAATCTACCAAAAAGGGGTGATTAAATGGACATTTTAGAGCTTAAAATATAATATTAAAGTTAGTGAAAGTGAAAGTCACTCAGTCATATCTGACTCTCTGACTCTATGGACTATACAGTCTATGGAATTCTCCAGGCCAGAATACTGGAGTGGGTAGGCTTTCCCTTCTCCAGGAGATCTTCCCAACCTAAAAATCGAACCCAGGTTTCCCACATTGCAGGCAATTCCCTGATAGGGGATTCTATGATAGCCAGTTGGTAAAGAATCCATCTGCAATGCAGGAGACCCCAGTTTGATCCCTGGGTCGGGAAGATCCACTGGATAAGGGAAAGGCTACCCACTCTATGATTCTTGGGCTTCCCTTGTGGCTCAACTGGTAAAGAATATTAAAGTTAAAAACTCATTAAATGGATTTGAAAACACATTACATACAGTAGAAATTAGAATTAGTAAACTAGAAGATGGGTTCCTAAGAAATATGCTCAGTGAAGTTAAAAAAAAAAAAGAAAATACCAAAAGTCATTAGAACATTTGAAACCAAGTAAAGAGTAAACTCTGGGAGTTGGTGATGGACAGGGAGGCCTGGCATGCTGCGATTCATGGGGTTGCAAAGAGTTGGACACAACTGAGTGACTGAACTGAACTGAACTGACTGAAAGAGGTCTTACATCCATGTAATTGGAGTCACAGAAGTAGAAGAGAAAATAAGGAATAATTCATATTTGAACAGATAGTAGCTGAGATTTTTTTTTCAAGATACTTGAAGGATTTCAACTCACTTCAATAATTTCTGTGATCCCCAAGCAAAATCAATACAAAGTAAACCACAATGAAGTAGATAATAGTTAAATTGCTGAAAAAGTTTAAAAACAAGTGGGGCAGGGTTTGGGTGGAGTGCAGGGGGACGGTTCCTTACCTCAAAAGACCAACAATAAAACTTACAGCTGACTTATCATTAGAAATGATGGCAGCCAGAGACAATGGAATGGCATCTTTAAAGTACTGTAAGAAAACAACTACCAATTTAGAATTCTGTACCCTCAATAACATAGGGGTTATTTTATTCTTGATTCACAGGTATTAAAAAATACCTAGTATCTATATGATTCTATTCCTCTTCATTTTTCATCTTTATTTTAGGGAGAAATTTAAAATTTGGAAAAGTTACCTACAAAGTACAGGATATTTTATCATTTAAGTTTTGTTTAGAAACACAGAAAGCATATGCCTTTTGTTTTCCACATATGATCAAGCAGAGATATTTAGCTTAAGAGGAATTGCTCTATATCTTCTTCCTATAGTCAGTGATAACTGTGGGGTAAGGAGACAGGGAAGTGAAGGGAGTAGTTTTCATTTAAAAGGGCTTGACCTTTATCTTATCTCTCAAAGAAATCTTCTAATACTTCCATTTGATTCTTTATTTTACATCCTGCTTCAATCTGTTGCTCTGATAGCAAATCTTATTTCAGGATTATTAAGACTCACCTACTGTATAGTCTCCAAAACCAATAGTACTTATGGTGTTGAATGAATAATAAATTCCTTCAACATAACTCCAATTCTCTAATGACGTGAAAAGAAATGGTGGTAATACAAGGAAAAAAAGTGATCCAGTTGCAGCAAAAAATAAGCTCTTCCAGAGATAAACATTTTTCTAAAATATATTAGAAAAAAAGATACAATGTTAGCAGTTATATCATAAACAAACAACATTAAAAAAACTATTGTGTGCTCCAGTAGTTGTTTTTATCTATTTCTTCATTTCTCAAAGATTTGGAACCCAATAAAAAGATCATTCTTTTGAATAATCCTGTCCCTAGGAGTATGTCCAAGCTCTACTGCTCTACCTCCTGTCATCAATTGTCCTGCCATCTTGTTTTCTCGCTTTCCTATTATCTACATCTAGACCTTGATTTAAGATTAATTTCCCTGTGACACTTTACCCTCCAAAGACTTCTAAGATTATTCTTGCCTAGATATCAGGCTACAGTTCCTTCTTGCTCTGGGCTCTGACCCCGTAGCCCCAGTTTAGCTCAGATTCCCCATCTGGACACAGCTCCAAGCCTTCTGACATGCATGCTTGCAAAATAAAGTAAATGAGATTGTTGTGGCCCACAGCATGTTGGATCCTAGTTCCCCCACCAGGGATCAAACCCACAGCCTCTACATTGGAAGGCAGATTCTTAACCACCTGACCATCAGGAAAGTCCCCCATGTACAAGTCTTTGTAGACATATGCTTTTGTTTGAGTAAATACCAAACTATTTACTATTTCACTAATAGTGAAATAACAATCATAAATTCGATATATGTTTAGTTTTTTAGGAAATTGTTAAAAATTGTTTTTCAAGATGATTGTACCATTTAAGAGTCCTACTGACAGTGTATGAGAGTTCCAGCTCCTCCATACTCTTACCAACACTTGGTGTGATCATTCTTTTTATTTTGAACCATTATATTAGACATATATTGGTTTCTCATTGTGGTATTACCTTGCAATCTCCTAATAAGTAATACTTAGTATACTTTAATCTTCTGGATATCTCATTACTGGTAAAGGGTGTGCTTAAACCTTTTGCCCATTAAAAATATTGAGTTATCTTACTTTTGAGTTTTAAGAGTTGTAAGTATTCTGGATGCAAGTCTTTTTATAGGATATATAATTAGCACATATTTTCTCCCAGTCTGTAGCTCATCTTTATACCCTTTTAATTGATTCTTTTCAAGAGTAGAATTTTTAAATATTTAAATCTTGGTGAAGTATTAGTTAGGCTTTAGGTCAGTGTTTCTGCAACTTTAGCATTCATCTTAATCTCTTGCAGTGCTTGTTAAAATAGACTGATGGGCCCCCATCTGCAGAGTTCCTGATTGGGAACTCAGGGATGGGGGCTGAGAATTTGTATTCTTAATGATTCCTAGGTAACACTGATGCTGCTATTCCTTGAACCATACTTTGAGAACTGATGGTCTAGATCAATTTCTTAACTTTGAAACTGACATTTTGGACCCAATAATTCTTTGTTGTAAATGCCTGTCTTATGCATTGTAGGATGTTTAGGAGCATTACTGGCCTCTACATACTGGATGTCAGTAGCACTTTCTTCCTGAGGTTTGTACAACCCAATATGAGCCTAGACATTGCCAAATGTCCTTTTTGAAGGCAAAATCACTCCAGTTGAGAAACATTGGTCTAAATCCATTGTTCTCAACCTTGCACATTGAAATCACTTAGGGAGTTTTAAAAACCATTGAAGGCCCCATCCTCAAAGATTCAGATCAAAGTGGTCTGGAGTGGGGTCTGGGCACCAGGATCCAAGTGATTCTAATGTGCAACTGAGGTTGAGAACCACAGGACTGAACTCTAATTAGAACAGAAGAACAGATCCTACTGTAACCAGAGACCTCCAAAAAGAATACAAAGAAATAACAAGAATGTGGCACCCTACTGTGAAAGGCTCTGCCCCAGAGTAAGGACCAGTTGATCACATCAACCACTAGTGGGATTCTCTCTCACATGGCCCACTTTCTCCCATGGGCTCCCTGAAGGAGACCCCTTTTATGTTCCCTCACAGAAAAGAAAAGAAAAATAGATTCTTGAAGAATGTCTACAACTCACTTTTGTAATAAATTCTCAATAATTTTAATAAAAAAATACATTTCTAATTTTTAAAGAAGGGTAAAACCTGTGCTAATTACTCAATTGGGTCACTACCCATGACTCAACATGATATGTGGACAAAACCTTGTTCCAAACGTCTCTAGGGGCTAGTGTCAGCACTGCTGCTAATTCTCTGGGTAATCTTGGGCAAGTCACAGAGCCTTTAAGAAATGTTCTCCTGTTCTACAAAATAAAAGAGTTGGCCAACTGACTTAGGAGAACAAATACCTATGAGAATTGTTTATACACAATTCACCACTGCTCAATTTCTAAATGAAATGATTAGAAGCAAAATATCTAAAAGGAAATAGATGGTCCCTTGAACAATGGCTTTTCTTACGTCTGTTTTAGAACAGAGATGACTTGCTTTTTCTGCTCATATAATCCATGTGAATTCAGTAAGTATAAAGTGTTACATGTCTAGTTAGCATAAAGTTCTGAATCCACATAATTAAAAAAAAATAAACAGAACTTTTCTACCAAATGTGTCTGTGTGACTGTGTGGAAGGAGAAAGAAAATTTACCTCATTTAATCCCTTATGTTGAAGGTATAGTCCAAATTTTTCAGATGGCAGATAAACTAATATAAAAATATATTTAAATAACATGATAGTTAGAGGGATTCCAATTGTAGCAAAGACAACACAGAACATCTGTCCACCAGAAGTTTTAGGAAAAATTGTTCCATAACCTGTTAAGAGGGGGAAAAAATAAATGTAACACCCCTCAATACAGCAACTTGGTACAATTTGACATTTGACATTGGTCTTTGAGAGCAAATTTTCAGTCATTGGTATTCTAAGAGCCCTAGTGCATACAGTTCTTACCAAAAATAAAAAATGAAAATACGATGAGTCAGCTGATTTTATCTTAAGAAAGTGATTTAAAAATGTGAGTTAAAAAGTTCTTTTACAGAATCACTATTTAAAATTTTGAAAACTTGTAAACAGCATAAATGAACAATCAAAGAGACTAGTCATGCACGATATGGTATATAACAAAATATTGCAATATCATTAAGAATTACATTGAAATACATATGACATAGAAAATGCTAATGACATATTGGTCTGACAAAGCAGTCTAAAACTATATACTGACATATATATCAAGAACTTTCTATGATTAAAACTTAAACAATTATTGTGTGCGGAGCAGTGAGATGTTAATTGTTTAAAAATCGAATTTTTCAGATTTTCTACATTCTACTCCTACAATTACACAAGTTAAGAGCATGTACTTTGAACTGACTAATTTTAAGAATGCATGCTATAGTTCCTAGAGGAAATCAACCCTAAATATTCAATGGAAGGACTGATGCTGAAGCTGAAGCTCCAACACTTTGGCCACCTGATGTGAAGAGATGACTCATTGGAAAAGACTCTGATGCTGGGAAAGACTGAGGGCAGGAGGAGAAGGGGACGACAGAGGATAAGATGGTTGTATGGCATTACTGACTTGATGGACATGAGTTTGAGCAAACTCAGGGAGACAGTGAAGCTCAGGGAAGCCTGGCATGCTGCAGTCCATTGGGTTGCAAAGAGTTGGACACAACTGAAGAAACTTAGCACACATAGCACATATGGTTATATAACCATGTGTTGATGCATCAATTTTATATTTTTTATATGAGAGAGAGGAATTCAGCTCCTATAACCACTTTCTTATTCATCTTTTCCATGTCTGACATTTATATTGCCCCACTAGGATTGATGCTGAAGCTGAAACTCCAGTACTTTGGCCACTTCATGCAAAGAGTTGACTCATTGGAAAAGACCCTGATGCTGGGAGGAACTGGGGGTAGGAGGAGAAGGGGACGCCAGAGGATGAGATGGCTGGATGGCATCACCGACTCAATGGGCATGAGTTTGAGTAAATTCTGGGAGTTGGTGATGGACAGGGAGGCCTGGCGTGCTGCGATTCATGGGGTCGCAGAGTCGGACAGGACTGAGCAACCGAACTGAACTGAACTGTTCTCCTATATTTGCCTTTGTATTTTAACAATATTCTGAAACCTGTGTTTAAATGTTTATAAATTCTTAATTCCTGATACTATACGATGAGTATTATATCCTTTATTATTTTCTTCCTCTTTCCTCTTCATCATTCTCTATTTTTGTTTCCTTTTTATATCATTTATATGATAACATTTATACTCTGCTCTGTAACTATAAGACTTCTTATTCTAAGAAATTTTTTTCTTCACTCATTCCTCCTTTTCCCAAGAGTTGGTAATGCAGCTTTTTGGGAAATAGCAGAAGAGAATAAGTCTCTTTTGACTTATTTGGGAAAAATTTTCTATATTTGAAATACTTTTCATAAGGGGAAATGAAATGAAATGAAAGGGAAATGAAATGGAGTAAGGGGACAGCTTTTCTTATGCTACATACATCCTGGTTTAAAGAAAATAGTCTAAAGCTAAGATTTTAATGGATCCAAAGTATAGAGAAGAAAAATTGTCCTTTTCACAGAGAGCCAAGAATATTGCCAGCTTCTTTTGTCTTAGCAGATCTTGTTCTGAATGGGTTAATGCCCCTTAAACAAATCACTTTATTTCACTAAATTTAAGACATCATATAAATGTGTAGACAGTACCTCATGTAAAACATTTATAAAATATTCAGCATTCTAACTGGGAAAAAAAAAACACAAACCTACCTATTGTGGATAGGGTGATTATACAAGTTATAAAAGAGTTTGTAAAAGTCCAAAAGACAACAGTAGTCTTATTTCCTGTGGGAGGTATTCCTGACAATATTAAAGACGTCATCATCTACAAGTTAAAACAAGAGATAAAACAAAGTCAAAGTTTGGGTTATGTAAATTGTATTTCTTCAAGTAGAACACTAAATAAAATTAGTTCCATTTAGCTGGATTAAAACCATTCATGTCAATGTATGGCAAAAACCACTACAATACTGTAAAGTAATTAGCCTCCAACTAATAAAAATAAATGGAAAAAAAAAACCCCAAAACCCATCTAATTGGATCAAATTGAAATTCTTTCTTAAGATCAAGTGAAATAGAAACGCTTATGATAATAACTTACAAGTGAGAACCTTATTTGTTTTAGTGGTATCGACCCCTTTGGAAGTTGTATATGGGGTAGATATATGACTTTAACAATATTTTTTAAGGAAATCTGTGACATTGTTGTGTATAGATTTAGCATAGTGACTAATTATTTTCAATTATTTTCAAACAATTAACAAATATGAGTTGAAGACAGTTGCAAGGAGGATTCTCATTTAGGCAAACGGAAATCATGAGATATATGAGGAAAAAGATGTAAGAATACAGTAATTGTATCATATCATGAGAAAATAAGAAAGAAGTTAATGAGAGGGCCTTCAATTTCTGGAAAGTCTAAAATACATAGAATTCTTTTGATGAAAGAACCTCAGCTAAAAACTTCACAATCCACACAGTAATAGTAATAATCTGCTCAAGATACTGATGTCTTTATTTCCTGAACATCCCCCTCTCCTTGCCCCCAAAATCTTCAAATACAGAGTCAGGAGGAAAAGAATATGGGAATGGAAAGCGGTATAATGGGCAGAATAAACGAAAAGATATTCTTCTACGTTTCTTGATTCTTTACAGAATTCTGGAATTAATCTGACACAAACACATCAGAACCATACATGAAAGCACAGGGATAAGAAAGCAAGGGGAAGGAAGGGAGGAAACTATTATATAGAGTTCCTATAAAATACAGAATCCCCAATTCTAAATAAAACATTTATGAAATTCAGCAGAGTTATAAAAGAATATATTATGACTAAAGGAATGCAATGTTTGTAGGAAATCTAACAAAAATAATAAAAATGTAAATTTATATATTGATCACTTCAATAAGTACTAAGATAAAATGAAATAATTTTAGGGAAATATTTTATAAGTTATAAATAGGAACAAAATGTTTTAATTTGATATAGAAAAATCATAATAAACACCAAGAGCTTCAAGTTTAATAGTGAAACATCTGAGGCATTCTAACTAAGTCAAAAGCAAGATAGGAATGCTGCTACAATAGTCACAGAAAAATCTTGCAACAGAATGAAAATCCTAAAGACTTCAAATATTGAGTCACTGGACACAGAATATAAAATTTGTTTCAAATGTTTATAAGCCATATACATTTTAAAAGGATAAAGAAAACTTTTAGAAACAAAAAATAAAACCATTAAAATTAAAAAGTCAGGTAAAGTGCAGTCAAAGAGAAAATAAATAAAGGATATATCTTAATGAATTAATCAAAACATACCAAAAAGGTTAAAATAGTGGAGAATAGCAAAAAGAATGGTTAAGAGACACAGAAGATATAAATAATAAAAGATCAACCATATTTGTCATTTTAAAGGAATTAATAGCTCAGTATTTCCTAGAACTGATATGAGAAATAAATACAAAGTTCAGGAAGCAAACCCCAAGGGAAAATAAAAACAAAAGTGACATCTGCCTATGGCTGATTCATATTGAGGTTTGACAGAAAACAACAAAATTCTGTAAAGCAATTATCTTTCAATAAAAAAATGAAAAAAAGTCATACCTAGATTGCTGAATTAAAAGAGTAAAGTAACAGAGATGAAGAGAAGATCATAAAATCACAGAAGGCCTTGGATACCAGAGAGAAAAGGTAAATTATATACAAAGGGGAAGCAATTAGATTGATAGAAGACTTCTTAGAGGTAGCTGAAGGAAGCCACAATACAGTGGAATAATGTTTTCCATGTTCTAAAAGAAAATAATTGTCAATCCAATAATACATACTCTAACATATCTTTCAAGAAAAAAAGATGAACGTATTTTTGGAATATGTTATAAAACCAAGCAAAAGAAGAACAGTGTTTTCACAAGCAGACTGTCATGAGATAAATTTATCACAGATATATTTTATGTTTTTTCATTCTTTATTTTTCATTTTATTTTTTTTCCATTTGTTTTTATTAGTTGGAGGCTAATTACAATATTGTAGTGGTTCTTGCCATACATTGCAAGAAAGAAAATTATCTCCAAGAGATAATCTGAGATGACAGAAAGAAAGAAAATAGAAATAAATAAAATGTGGGCAAATAAAAACAAAGGCTAAACACACAATAATATAATAATACATAGGGGAGTTTTAAAAATGAGATTGAATAGAAACACTCTTGGATGACATGTTAAATGAGGACAAGGTGGTGGTAATTAAAGGTAAAATACTTCAAGAGACAGATTGCTGCTTCCAGTCACGGTGGAGTAACAGAGTCCAAAATTATCCTCTCACAGTAAACAACTAGAAAACTGGACAAAATATGAGAAAAAAACTGTTTCTAGACATTGGATAAGAAAAAATGCAGAACTGTAATTACTGAGAGAAGGAAAACAAATGAGGTGAGTACTATCATTGCCCAGACTGGCAATTTCTGGCAGTTTCTAGACTGCTGTATAGGACAAGGACCCCCAGAGAGAGCATAGGGATTTTGCTGAGCTGAGGAAAGAGAGATTGGAAGTCAATAAAGTTGTTCAGTTCAGTTCAGTTGTTCAGTTTTTCCCCATCTATTTGCCATGAAGTGATGGGACCAGATGCCATGATCTTAGTTTTCTGAATGTTGAGCTTTAAGCCAACGTTTTCACACTCCTCTCTCACTTTGATCAAGAGACTCTTTAGTTCTTCGCTTTCTGCCATAAGGGTGGTGTCATCTGCATATCTGAGGTTGTTGATATTTCTCCCAGCATTCTTGACTCCAGCTTGTGCTTCTTCCACCCCAGTGTTTCTCATGACGTATTCTGCATATAAGTTAAAAAAGCAGGGTGACAATATACAGCCTTGACGTACCCCTTTTCCTAGTTGGAACCAGTCTGTTGTTCCATGCCCAGTTCTAACTGTTGCTTCCTGACCTGCATACAGGTTTCTCAAGAGGCAGGTCAGGTGGTCTGGTATTCCCATCTCTTTCAGAATTTTCCACAGTTTATTGTGATCCACACAGTTGAAGGCTTTGGCGTAGTCAATAAAGCAGAAATAGATGTGTTTCTGAAACTCTCTTGCTTTTTCAATGATCCAGTGGATGTTAGCAATTTGATCTCTGGTTCCTCTGCCTTTTCTAAATCCCACTTGAACATCTGGAAGTTCATTTTTCACATATTGCTGAAGCCTGGCTTAGAGAATTTTGAGCATTACTTTACTAGCATGTGAGATGAGTGCAATTGTGCAGTAGTTTAAGCATTCTTTGGTATTACCTTTCTTTGGGATTGGAATGAAAACTGACCGTTTCCAGTCTTGGGGCCACTGCTGAGTTTTCCAAATTTGCTGACATATTGAGTGCAGCACTTTAACAGCATCATCTTTTAGGATTTGAAATAGCTCAACTGGGATTCCATCACCTCCACTAGCTTTGTTTGTAGTGATGCTTTCTAAGGCCCACTTGACTTCACATTCCAGGATGTCTGGCTCTAGGTGAGTGATCACATGATTGTGATTATCTGGGTCATGAAGATCTTTTTTGTATAGTTTTTCTGTGTATTCTTGCCAACTCTTCTTAATATCTTCTGCTTCTGTTAGGTCCATACCATTTCTATCCTTTTTCGTGCTCATCTTTGCATGAAATGTTCCCTTGGTATCTCTAATTTTCTTGAAGAGATCTCTAGTCTTTCCCCTTCTATTGTTTCTTCTATTTCTTTCCATTGATCGCTAAGGAAGGCTTTCTTATCCCTCCTTGCTATTCTTTGGAACTCTGCACTCAAATGGGTATATCTTTCCTTTTCTCCTTTGCTTTCCACTTCTTTTCTTTTCACAGCTGTTTGTAAGGCCTCCTCAGACAGCCATTTTGCTCTTTGGCATTTCTTTTTCTCGGGGATGGTCTTGATCCCTGTCTCCTGTACAATGTCATGTACCTTCGCCCATAGATCATCAGGCTCCCTGTCTACTAGATCTAGTCCCTTAAATCGATTTCTCAGTTCTGCTGTATCATAATCATATCCTAAATCAAATCATAAGGGATTTGATTTAGGTTATACCTGAATGGTCTAGTGGTTTTCTCCACTTTCTTCAATTTAAGTCTGAATATGGCAATAAGGAGTTCATGATCTGAGCCACAGTCAGCTTCAGTCTTGTTTTTGCTGACTGTATAGAGCTTCTCCATCTTTGGCCACAAAGAATATAATCAATCTGATTTCAGTGGCTATAATAAAGTAATCAATAAAGCTGAGGTGGCTACAATTTGTGGGCAGTGTTCCACAGAGGACAAAGCTACCCAGTGAAAGAATGATAGAAATCTGCATAGAGCTATCTTTGAGTCTTTGGCTCAATGACATTCTGCACATGGAAAGAGTAAAAGTTTATGAGGCTGGTGAAAAACAATTACCTGAGTGTGGCAGAGAGTTACTCCAAGTGGCCCCCATGGTCTGGAGTTCATGCACTTGTGTGACTCCTTCTCTCTGAGTGTGGGTGGGGTCTGTGACTTTTCTGCAGCCACATATGTGGCTATGAGTATATCAAAGGTGACAGGATGTACATGCCTCCAATGTATGTGGTTAGGTTATATAAGACTCAGTGCTGATTTTTCTAGAGGCTCTTTCTCCCTTGCTGGCTTTGAAGAAGGAGGCAGCCATACTATATCCTATGAAAATGGCCAGGTGCCAGAAACATGAATGTAGTCTCTGGCCAACAGCCAGTGTGAAACTGAGGTCCTTGGTCTGACACCCCGAAGGAACTGAATGATGCTAGAAAGCCAAATGAGTTTGCAAGCCGATTTTCCCTCAGTTGAGCCTCAGATGAGACCAGACTCCTGTGACACTTTGATTGCAATCTTGCAAAGGACCCAGCTAAGCTGTGCTCTGACTCCCAGCCTATAGAAACTGAGAAAATAAATGTTTTAAGCTACTACATTTGTGGAATGCTGTTATGGAGCAACAACTAACTAATATATTGGGAGAAAAATAATAACTGTGGCCTATAAGCTGAACAATTCCTACAGCTCACACCAGGCTAGAAACTATTTGAGTTTCTAGCTAGAAAGCAGAGGTCCCATTATATGTTCATGACATCCAGTGGAGAACCCAGAAAGGTCATAACTGAGAAGCGCAGCAGAATCAGCCCTAGCAAAAGGGCTACTTTAAGCCTGGAAGGAGTTTAAAATGGAATTTAGTAATGTTTAAATAACTTACTTAATTGACTGTCAGAGAATGTCCAAGGAATTTAAAGGAACACAATTAAGCAAAACACCATCAAATAATTCATGATGTCCATTATCCAATTTTTAAAAATTAACAGACATATAAAGAATCAAGAAAACATAACCCATTACCAGGAGACAAACCAGTCAAGAGAAACAAACTCATAAATAACAATTCCATCAAAAGGATGAAACTAGCAGAATATGATCTTAAAAAGGCTATTAAAAATATGTTCAAAGATGTAAGGATACATTAATATAATGAGGAGAGGAATGGAATGTATAAGACATAAGAAAGTGGAAGTGCTAGAAATGAAAAATATAATATCCAAAAAGGAATAGATGAGATTATCAATAGAAGAAAATATTAATAAACTTAATGATACAGCAGTAGATAATATCCAGATTGAAGCACATAGAGGGAAAAAAATGAAAAAAAAAATCAGATATCAAGTGTGTGTATTGAGAAAAAGAAGCCAGAGGAAAGGCAGAATAATGACTGAAAAATTTCAAAGGGTGAAATGGGACACATAGAGTTACAAGAAACTCAAAGAATCAGAAGCAGGATAAACACATATACACATGAAACATATGCATCATAATCACATTACTAGAAACTAGTGATCTAAAATGTAACAAGAGGGGAGAAAAAGACACAGTATGTAAACAGCAACAAACCTAAGAATAACAGGTTTCCTATCATAAGCAATGCAAACCAGAGCCCACGGAACAACGTTTTTAAAGTGCTAGACTAGATTTATATATCGAATGAGAATGTGCTTTTAAAAAGGCAAAACAAGAAGAAAAAAAAAGAGTGAGAGAAAAAGGAAAAACAATTTTTTTTCAGACAAAATCTGAGAGGATTCATCACTAGATTTTTGTGGTTCTTCCTATGCTGAGTACTTTTGGATTGTATCCTCTACATTTTGAATACTAACTAATCTACAAGACTCTGAGTCTTATTTAAATCCTACAGAGACTTATTTTCAGTTTAGAGGCAATTTCTCTATTTAGGCTTCCCTGATCTCTCAGTGGGTAAAGAATCTTCCTGCAATGCAGGAGTCATAGGAGACACAGGTTCGATCCCTGGGTTGGGAAGAACCCCTGGAGAAGGAAATGGCAACCCACTCTAGTATTCTTGCCTGGAAAATCCCACGGACCGACGAGTCTGGTAGGCTATAGTCCATGGGGTGGCAGAGTCAGACACGACTGAGTGACTAACACTTTCCCTTTCTCTGTTGAGATTCAGACTGCAAGTTTTCACATTCTGTGAAACGTGGTTCCACTGTCTGTTCAGCTCTCCTAGCCTCTGCAGTACCTTCTGGGACTTGTCCCACAGTCCATCACTCAGAAGTCGGTCTGGGGCTTAGATTCAGGTCTACCCACTAGCTCAGTTTTCAAAGTTTTTGGTATGAAAGTTAGAATCAGATCCCGCATCTGTAGGTCAGGGGTGAACTCAGGAGATCGTAAGCAACTTTATAGGGTCACTTCCCCAAACTGCTCCCTGTCTGTGGTCTCATTTTCTTGGGGGCTTCCCTTTTTGGTCTTCCAGATGGAAAACAACCACTACCTCCTTGATTGTGCTGCATCTGGGGTCAAGTGGTAGGAGAAGTGAGAAAGATGGGGAAAAAATGAAAGGGTTTGGCCCTAACTCTGAAACTACAGCTTCAGGGAACAGAGCTGAGTTTCTCCTCCCTCAGAATTGTGTGGGTTCCTATGCTTCCACGGCTGCTGTCTTCTCTGCTGCCACCCCCACAGGAATGCTGGTAAACTGGGGTAAAAGAGGACAAAGAAAAGGAACAAAAGGGAGGGTTTCTACACTCTCTCTGAGCAAGATGCATTCCCTTTCCTGCTTCTGGAGCCAGAACTAGCGGATGTCTCCCAGGGTCTTCTGACTATTATGCCTAAGTTTCCAGCTACATTAAAGTCAGGCTGGGGGATACCAGAGAAGAGTGTGCTTGTGGCAGTCACTCAGTTGTGTCCGATTCTGAGACTCCATGGACTGTAGCCCACCAGGCTCCTCTGTTCAAGAGATTCTCCAGGCAAGAGTACTGGAATGGGTTGCCATTTCCTTCTCCAACCAGAGAAGTATAACAGTGCTTAACTTGCCACTTGTTCAGTATTTCGAACCATGAAGTTCTTCCTTACATTGCTGCTGGTGTTTACTTTTCAGGTTCCTCAAATACCTGATCCACATATTTTTCCAGCTTTGTAGTTACATTCAGTGGGAGAGAAAGAGTGGAGGGTGTTTGCCCCACCTTACCCATACCTGGTCAGTTGGCTTTGGACAAAGTTGCCATGGTAATTCCATGAAAAAAGAGATAATCTTTTCAACAAACGATTCTGAAATAACTAAAGATCTGTATTAAAAATAACAACAACAAATTTTGATGCTTACTTCTCATTTCATCAAAATTTACTTGAAATGTATCAAATAAATAAATATAAAAGCAAAACTAGAAAATGTCTAGAAATCTTTGTGACTTTAGTTTAGCAGATGTTTTAGAACACATAAAGTGCAACCCATAAAAATTTATAAACTAGAATTTATAGGAAACAAAATTCTCTTCAAGAGAAACTGAATAAAATGACAATCAATCCACCATCAAGGAGAAAGTACTGGTAACACATATGAGTGACAAAGTACTTTTCTCCAGAATACATGAAAAATAATTATAACTGCATTAAGTAGACAAGTGAAAAAACATGCAAATATTTGAACAGATAATTCACAGCAGATAATACAAAGATAGCCAATAAACTCATAAAAATGCTCAACATGATTCGTCATCAGAAGAACACAAGTAGACTGGCCAAAATAAAAACATCTTACAACATCTAATTCTGGCGGGGATGTATAGCAGCTAGAACTCTAACGTAGTTGATGGGTTTATAAAATGATATAACCACTCTGGAGAACTCTTGTTGGGTAGTTTCTTATAGAGTTATACAGATTTACTAGTTCTCATAGCAATTCCACTTCTAGGCATTTACCAAAACGAAGTAAAAACATGTTTCTCCACAAAGCAAACATTTGTAGCAATTTCATTTATGATAGAAATAAACCTGAAAACAACTCAAAGCTCATCAATGTGAACAGATAAGCCAATTTTGGTATAGATATACCATAGAATACTATTCAGCAATGAAAAGAATTTACCTAGTGATAAATGAAACAATTGAGCAGAATGTCAAAAACATCATGCTAAGTGGAAGAAGCCACTCACAAAAGACTATGTATTATATGATTCCAAATACTAATTGATTCTGTGTTTAAGAATGCTCAATATTATCACATAATAATTCTCCCCAAATTCAAAGAAAATTAAATCAAAACCTCAGCAGAGTATATTATGAAAAAGGACAATCTGATCTTGAAATTCATACAAGAGGATAGGAAAGTTCACTTCAGGACTTATTGCAATGGTATCGTCACTCAGACAAAATGAAACAGAATCAAAAACCCAGAAACAAATTTATGGACATAAGAGAACCTACAATATGATAGAGGTAACTCTAAAAATTAAAGGGGAAATAAAAATCAATCAATAAACTGTTCTGGAACAATGGGCAGTCTATATGGAAAAAATATATAAAATTAGAATTTAAAGGAACACATAAGGTGCACACATGTGCGCGCACGCGCACACACACACACACACACACACACACGCAATCCAAGATGAAATAATTTTTTTTGGTAAAAAAGCAAATTTGAAAAATGTCTAGAAGAAAGCTTAAGAAAATATCTCTATGACCTCAAAGATGGGAATGACTGGCAAAAGTTGTATAAATCCTAAAGGAAAAGAATAATAACAATGACTACATTAAAATTAACTTTTCTCAACTACAAAAGATATTACAAGGGAATATTTAAGGACAATATGTCCAGAGCTTAGAGCATGACAATATTTGGAAAAAGTAAAAGAGAAATAAGCCAATTTTCCTGCCAGATTCTTATCTCCTTTGCAGAACATATTTCTGAACTTCATATGGAATAATGAAAAAGATCACTTCAATCAGAACAGTTTCAACTGAGTATAAACTCAGTTGAGTATAAACTCAGTATATACTCAGATGAATATAAACTCATCTAGTAATTGGGTTGTATTTGTCCCTTCTGTCACTTTTACCTCCTTCTACCTTGTTATCATCTGCTGCCTTCCTTTTTCTTCCAAGTCTGCATGATTTCCTTTTGTTCCTCCTGCCTGTTCCATAGCTAACCTGAAATATCCTGCTTGGTAAACTAATTTAGTCCCAATGAAGGAAATTATTTTATAGAATTTTCACACTGAAGGCTTCTCTGCATAGGTAGCAGTGGTATGACTCTGAAAATACACACTTCTCCATCTCTTACCTGCACAAATCTTCTGACATCTTCCTTAGTCATATTGGAACGATTTTTTAGAAAATCAGCCTTTGCCTTAACTGCCAAATGCCGCTGCTGTACCTCAAAGTCTCTCTCCAAGGCTCCAAATATAAATGCCCCAAACATGATGTATGATATATAGACAAGCAGGACGACGCCCTTCTGGACTTTGGTGCCTGTCTCATCTTTATATAGTGGAACCAAAGAGAAATCAGAAGACTGTAATGTAGATTATAATGTCCTTTCAAAAGAAACCCAATACAGCACAGCAACCCACAATCCCAGATACAGAATATGAACTCTCTCTTTTTTCTTAACCTACCTTTAAACAACAAACTATACAATTTCCTAATAGTCAGAGAAGTAGAAAAATAATTCCACTTCTCTCCTAACTATAAACTTACTTATTATTATTTTTTTTTTAAGAGAATTGTGCTATTTGGGGAGATAGGGAAATGTTGGCAAGGGCAAAGTTAGCCAAACGATTTAGTCGTTCACTCAATTTTCTTAGTGCAAATTTTATTGCTGAATTACACTTTGGAGTACCTTTAGTGAATATTTTTAAAAGAGTACAATGTTAACACTTTAACCAGCTGATAAAAACGAGTTAATTAGACCATTTACACCCTCCAGTTACCAGCGGTATGAATTTAGGCCAGTCAGGTGTCTGGCTGTGTTTCAAATTCTTCATCTACCTTTTATAAAATGAAGATAATAAGAGTTACTTGATAAGGTTGTTACAAAGATTAAATGAGTAATATATTGAAATACTTAGAATGAGGCCTAGCAAACAGGAAACGCCCAAAACAATCCTGCTGCTAAGTTGCTTTAGTCGTGTCCAACTCTGTGCGACGCCATGGACGGCAGCCCACCAGGCTCCACCGTCCCTGGGATTCTCCAGGCAAGAACACTGGAGTGGGTTGCCACTGCCTTTTCCAATGCATGAAAGTGAAAAGTGAAAGTGAAGTCGCTCAGTTGTGTCCGACTCTGTGCGACCCCATGGACTGCAGCCCACCAGGCTCCTCCGTCCATGGGATTTTCCAGGCAAGAGTACTGGAGTGGGGTGCCATTGCCTTCTCCGCCAACAAATCCTAGCCAGTAGTCAAAGAAGCAGTCTGTTTGCAGCAGTAGTAGTAATCACAGTAGTAGTACACGGTGGAGGAGGAGCAACTCTTCTCTCTCCCTGTTCCTCTCTGCCTTTGTTCAATAAGCGTGGGGCAGAAACAAAGAACATGCCAGCTGGCATGATGCAAGAGACTCTTAGCTGGATGATGTCAGATTCTGATAAAGGTGCAGTCCTGTGTGTTTCATGGCACTCTGGGACAATGCTTGAAGAAGGCATCTAACTAAGGTGGCAGCACTCTCCACTTGAACCTGCCTTCTCACAGCCTCTTCCACGTTAGGGGACAAGGCAAATCTCTGTAGCACAGACCCTCATCACTTGGGTGAACTTCCCCAATGGGATATAAAAAAATGAAAGCACATGGTCATAGGTTTTGTATGTAACATTCTGAACTATAAGAAACAGTTATAAGAACAAGCACATTTTAAAGCCAACAGGGTTAAAGTATCCAAAATCCACTTTAATGAAATACTATACAATTAAATGTCATAGTCACAGTTGGTAATGTACATTTCCAGTGTTAAATCATAAATTTAATCATACTACATGTAAATAATTCAGAATAATAATAAAACAGTACAGTCCCACCTAAGGAACCATTTTACTTTGAATTTGTAGCAGGATAACAATATGCTTTTATTATCTTCTATTTCCATGTTTAAACTAGCAATAAATATCATAACTTAAAAAAAAAGATATCTGAGCTAAACCTCCATAGAGTCTTTCTAACATTTCCCTGGCTTCAATAAAACACTGAATAGGGAGCAATCAAACCATTATACTGTATGCCTAAAAACAATACAATGTTCTATGTCAATTATATCTTAATTAAAAATACTTTCAGCAACCATTTGTTAGTTGGGCAGTAAAAACATATCTGATCTGGTCACATTTTACAAAAAGGTCTCCTTTGACATGTTGGGATAAGACGTTACACTTGGAAGATTTTAAATTTCTCACAAACACATCAACATTTGGGGGTACACTTTGCAGTCATAGCACCAAGCCAAGACTGCTCTTCACCATCACTGTCACCAAAGACCAGACCCCTCTCAAGGAAGCCATTCGGAAGCAATCCTACCTCTTAAACAAAGGCCTGGGAAATCAAGACTGTAGGAGAGTTGACTGGAAAGGGACATTTTGAGCCTGTCTAAATGATCTCATCACCACCCCAAGTTCCATCTGGAACCTTGGGGGTGGCTAGTTCTACACCCAATTATCTCCACATTATTACCACATCTCTCAGTGCGTATGACTCAGTCATTCTGCACCCAAACCCCTCCAGCCTTTCTGCTACCTTTCTGCCGTGATACCCTTCAGTTCCACCTTCCTGTTGTATCAGTCTCCTGCTGATCCCTTTCCTGGCAATGACGTGATTCCCAGCCTGTGGTCAGTGGGCCTCTTTATGTTTGCTGTTTCAGTTCATCTGCCCCTTCGGTTTACTTGCCCCTTTAGCTCTTGTCCCTTCTGACTCATGCTCAATACTACCTGAGGCCTCTATGACTTATCTATGTTCTTCCCACGCTTCTCCACTTGCCAAAATGCTCCTTAGCCTTCCAGACTCGATACCTGACATCAGCTGTGAGTCCCTCTCTGGTTCTCTCTAAGCAGAAACATGACTGACAGCAAAGAACATTTCTAGCCACATCTTAAATAGAAGATCTCTGTTGTTAATTCAGTTACAGTATTTATTTCTACTATATTCAAGCACAATCCCCTAGGGAGATATAAACAGACTCTATGTTATTTGAGTTGTTATACCTCCTTTGAACACCTAACAAGGTTTTACCTTCTCAATAAACGCTTCTTGGATGCAACTAAATAATTTCCATGTAACCTGTATTGTTGACAAACTATATTTTCCCCTCTAGGCTATAATGTCCAGAGATAATAAAATTTCCTACAAAAATCATAGGTTTCAGAGTTCTGTTGCATTGGTTTTGAGTCCTGGATCAGACACTATCTAATTTGTGACCTTGGATAGCTAACCTCTGTGAATTTGTTTTCTTATTTGTAATGTAGATTTCATCATCTCCTTGCATTGTTATCATTTTGGATTTGAGTTCCTGTGTAGATTGTCTGACACTAGATGAATTCTCAATAAACAGTTATAACTTTTACAACTAGTTGTAATCATTGTATTCAGGCTGAATGAATCTTCATGGCATATTTTATGGTGACTTCTCTCTAGTGTTCCTTTTTTTAAAAATGTTTGTTGAATGAATGGAAAATGTGGCAATGAAATGAACAAATGGAAACTTGGCAAGAAGAAATTCCTAGGAATTAGTCTGTGAGAAGCATGAATGGGTCATTTCCTCTTCTCCTCAATCCCAAGGAACCAAATGGGATTCTTCCTTGGCCACCATGAACTAGGAATGAGAAAGCTATTTTGAGTGTATCAACCAAGAATGTGGCCCCCCAAAATTGAAGGAAACATTGGCGTTGTCCCAGGTTTTTGTGAATGTGAGTGACTCTACACTTGGACCACCCCTAGGGCTGTCCCACATTGTAGAAGGAGGCCACAGTGTCCTAGGGCCACATGACCGACCCTGGTGGAGCAGAGCAGTTCAGCGTTTGTTGAGTTGGAGTGTAACTCGCATTGCAGTACCAGACTACCTGAGCTAAGATGTGTCAGTCTGTTGCACAAGGAGATTCCCAGATGCCCTGGATGCTAAGCAGCAAGTTGGAACACTAGGAAAGGATAATAACAAGGTTATGCTTTTTACTCCAAAATAGCAGCAAGGAGAGGAAGAAAAGGAAGAAGAAGAGGGGAAGATGGAGGGAGAAGAAAAGGAAGCTTTGTTAGGTGCTTCCTATGTACCAGCTACTGTCCTAAACACTTAATCATGAGAGAACCACTCTGAGTTGATCCTACAAAGCAATTATTTTTTTTAATTCTTCTCTTCTACAGATGAAGAAACTCAGGCCTAGATAAATTTTAAAAATTGTCCAAGATCACAGAACTATTGTGACCTCAATAAGCTGAGATTCAAACCCGTGTCTGATTAGCCCCAAACTTATTCATGCTCTTCCCTGCTATTCATTAATTTTAAAAAAAAATTAATTTAGCACTTATTTATTCTATGTTAAAAACTGATATATCATTGTAGACATAACAGTGGACAAAATATACAAAAATTCTTGCTCTCATAGAGCTTACTTTCTAGTGGGGAATTCAAATAATAAACAAATGAGCAAGATAAAGAACGTTAGGTGATGGTGAATGCTCTGGAAGAGAGTAGAACCAAGAAGGGAGATGGGGCTGCAATTTTAAATGGAGCAATTAGAGAATACCTCATTGACAAGATAAAAGTTGGGCCAAGACATAAAGGATTAAGGAGGGAGCTATGGGAAATCCAGGGGTAAGTTTTCCAGGCAGAGGCAATGGCAAATGCAAAGGCCCTGAGGCTGAAATACTTTTAATTCGCTTTAACCTATGTGAGGAATAAGGGAGTTAAAGCAGTTGAACCAGTTTTACTGGTGGAAGAGTGGGATGCCTAAAAATCAGGGTCCCACTGAAGCAGAGACAGCATGGATGCTGTGGATTAAAAATATCATGTGGAGCATACAGGATCTGCAGAGGAAATTCATAACAGAAATAAATGCACAGAGAATGTGTGCTATTTACCTCCAAAGAGTGAACTGGGGGTAGCAGAAAAGGATATGGTAGAATTTATACTTTTCATTTAATACACTTCTCTACTTATTTTTAAACCAAGCATGCAATTCAATTTTAAAATCTAATTAAACAAGTTAATATTCTATAAATGTACTTAAGTATTAATACATGCACAAGAATGTTTATAGCTTTTCTGTTCCTAAACAAACAATAGGGAGCTGCTTTTAAATACTGGGCTATCTATATAAGGATATATAGAGATACTTATAGAGTAGATCTACATACTGACTTAGAAAGAGGTCTCAAATTTAGGACTCAAAGCACTGGAGTATGAAGTGTACCTTATGGACATAATTGAATACACGTGCTCATTTACTTATACGCTGTTGTACAAAGTTCCTCTGAATAATTGTTTATACAGTAATAGCAAAAAAATGGAAACAATCTTTACAATTATGGGACTGAAAAAAATTATGGTGCATTCAAATGCTAAACTATTAGTCATTTAAAATTATTACATATGTCTATATTTAGTATGAAAATACATGCTATGTATATTTAAAGTTAATTTTAAAAAGCAAGCTTTTAAAATTTAAATTGCAGATGTGGAATGATCTCTTTTTTTTTTTTTTTTTTTTGGTAAAAGATACTAGAAAGTAATTCCATGAAAGGAGGGATTTATTGTTTTCAGTGCTTTATTTCCTGAAAAACACGTGGTTCCTAGGGCATGGCCCACACACCATTGATATCTGTTGAATACTAAAACAATGAATAAAAGTGTATGTCCACATGCAACAACACAAAACACAGAGGACCAATTACGTTAACAGAATTTATCTTTAGGCATACCATTTAAATGGTTTTTATTTTTCTTGATACTTATCTGTATTTCCTAGTTTTTAACAAAAATAATAGTTTCACTTAATGCTTATCTAAAGCATTAAAAGTTTCAGAACATTTCAAGGCTAAGAGTTCAGAAAATATCTATTTTCAGGAATGAGTATAACTAATCATTATCTAGCTGAGGACTCAGGGTTGAAGTGCAGGCAGTAGGGCCATCAGCTTTTACCGGGTGGAAACAGTAGTTCTTACAGGAGGCTGATAAGGAGAGACTGAACAAATCAATGTGAACAGAGCAGTTATAAGTCTAAAGAGTTTGGAGAGGGCAGCTGCTGTATCCTAGAAGGTAATCCCTAATCATTAGGGAATTTGACTTGTACCAACTCATGATTTATTTTTGGGTTGCTCCTCTTGAGATTTGGGTAGCTGCCCTTGTGGACTACACAGTTCAGATTCCCCAGGAGTGTGTGTGATTTGCATATGATTCAGTCAATTACGCATTTTCTCTTGAAAATAGTGCCTTGATTAAAATTAAGAACAAAATGTGGACTTCTAGCTCTGCCTGAGCAGGACTAAGACAGAAGTTTTGCATTTCCACTGGGGCCAGGACGGAAGAACAACTGGAGATGGGCCAAAGCTAGTTGGCAGTTTTTCTTTGATAGAAGGTTAAAAGGAAAAGTTTGGAGATGCCTATCTTCAGAATGAGACTACAGAGTCACCCTCTCTAACATTTTAGAATTATGTAAGAAATTTAAGATACTTACGGGTCGTCTATATCTACCATAACCTAAAGAGCTACAAATTAAAGTCATAGAAACCCCAAGCTTTTTGAAGCTGTTTCTTCTACTTTTGTTTTTATCTTGTTTTAAGTATGTGCATTTAATTGAATTTATTATATCACTATATTTGATCTTTTTTCTTCTGTTACTTTCTTTTATTCCTTACTTATATATATGCTGGTAGTGTTTATTTTTCCCTTTATCTTTTAGCGCCTTATTTACCTATTATACTTACTCTTTATACGATCTTATTTTTAAAAATATTTTACTCTATCATATCATCTTAACACATCCTCTTGGATAATTTTAGTCTTCTACTTTGTAAAAAGCAATCACCACATCCCATTTTATCAGCATGCTATATGGTCACATTTCTCTTAAAAGTTTTCATTAAATCATGTGAATCTCACTTAGGCCTTCTCTCCAGTGCTACCCAAAGTGACAGGAACACTTTATCTCATCCAGGAGGTCAATTCCCCACCCTCACCCTGACTCACTGCTGTATTCACCCTGGGCACCCCCTGCCAATGTGGCTGGGATTCCCAGTTTAAATGTTACAGCTCTTTGAATACATATTTGTGTCACACGAAGGACCAGGTCAAGTTCTACTATTTACTACATCATCCAGAAGCACTTGTGCAAACAGTATTCACTGCCTAACAAAGGCCATTCCCCTTTCCCCACTCTCTTGCTGTTATGCAGACCTGACTAATAAAGACAAGTGGGAAATATATCCAGAGTAAGAACTGCCTATGAGGGAACAACTTTTCATATATGGTGAATGTTATTAAGTCTACATGTGATTCCTAGAACTACTGCAGCCCTCATGAGACAATGAGGGGAGATATTGTCAACAAACTGAGAATATTTGTGAAGGGAAGATAGGAAAATACCAGAATTCATCAGTGCATTGGATTAATGAACCAAACCTGGAACCA